ATTTTCTTCTAATTTCAACTCACATGTGAACGCGGCGCGTCACTCCTCTCCTGTCGACTAGCCCATGTCCAACCAAGCTGTCCATTCCAGTTCATCGGCTTCTATTTGGAGCCCTCGTTCCTCTTTCAGATTGGCATGCCTCAATGTACGCACACTGCTACAAATCGGCCAAGCGGCAACACTTAGCTGAACTTTGGAGACCCTCTCGATCAATATCTGCTGCTTATCAGAGACCCGCCTGCAAGACTCGAGCTCTGTGCTCACTCTGCGATCCCCTTCAGGTGACGCAAACAGTATTTTCTCAGTGCGCTTATCCAGTGACGATACAGCTTCGAGCACCGATCAAGCTAGTGTTGGCATTTCCCTGAGTCCCCGGGCTGAAGCTACTCTGGCTGATTGGATTTCAATCAGTAGCCGGATGTGTGTGGTCCGATTGGCTAGCTCGTTTAAAGCTTCGAAGTCGCGCGGGACTAAGAGGTGTCTATTCATCATCGCCGCCTAGGCGCCCACAAACTGTAGCGAAGATTCGGTATGGGACGACTCCTACCGCCAACTGACCCAGCTCCTTTGCTACCGAAGAAGCACGGACACTGTTGTGTTGGCGGGGGATATGAACAAACAAGTTGGAAAGTTGTCCACTGATGAACTGCATCTGGGCAGTCAGCCCGTAAAGATAACGTGAGCGGTTACTTCATTTGTGTGAAGATGCTCGCTTATTTCTTGCGAGCACTAATTTCCGACACAGCACACGCCGGAGGGTAACTTGGCGCCCACCAGCCTCGAACCAGCCTTGGACGCAGATCGATCACATTGCTATTAGTTACCGATGGAGAGATTGCATCCAGAATTGTCGCTCGATTTGGAGCACATGTGTGGACACCGATCATGCACTTATATGTGCTGACATGCGGATGCGCTTTGGCGGACGCCCACGACGATGCTGTGAACGTATTGACACCAGCCAACTGACAAAGCTAGCTGTTCTGTATGCGTATCGAAGTACGCTGACATACGAGTTGAGCAATCGCTCACTGGAGACAATTGATGGTCACTAGTCACATGTTCGTCAGATCTTACTAGCAGCGGGCAAATCCTCATGTGGTATGTTTAATAGCCAACATGGACGTTGGGACTCTTCTCGGTCTCTGGAACTTATCGACGTTCGCCGGCATATCCCGGCTGGAAGTGAACACAATGAAACTCGCAAAGAGCTCCGGGAAAAACTCCGTGCTAGTCTGAAGTGAGACCGCAAATCTTGGTAGTCTCATCTTGCATCAGAGATGAAAGTGTCCGCTGCCCTTATCAACCATCGTAAGTTATTCAGTGTGATACCGGAAACGGGCAGCAGGAGACCTGGTGTTAGAGAAACTATACATGACGAGAGTGGACAGCCTATCCACAATTTGTCAAATCGGTTGGAGCGTTGAGCGGAGCATTTTAAAAAGCAATTTAATCGGCTTGAATTGTTCTATTCTTCGCCGGCCAGTGATCGCGCTGCTCCGCGGGCTGTCGCTTTGGATCCACCCTCTTGCTCAGACGTCGAACGTGAGATCAAACTATTAAAGTTGAACAAAGCCGCGGGACCAGATGATCTTCCTCCAGCCCTCTTCAAATTCGGAGGCTCTGCTCGTGTTGATGCTTTACATGAATCACTAGTGGAACTGTGGGAGCAGGAATCTGTACCAACCGACTGGAGCCGCTCCGTTATTGTTCCCATCTTCAAAGGAGGCTCGCGTTCGGAATGCGGCATTCATAGAGGAATCAGTCTGATCTCAATCGCCTCCAAATTACTCGTTTCCATAATCCTTCACAGACTGACTGGCGCTCGTGAAAGCCAGATTCGTGAGGAGCATGCCGGGTTTCGTCGTGGTCGTGGCTGCATCGACCACATCTTCACCTTGCGTCAGTTGTTGGAGCACCGTCACATATATTGGTGGCCCACCGTAGTCTTGTTCCTCAACATCAAAAGTGCCTTCGATTCGGTTGATCGATGTGCCCTTTGGAATAGTTTACCCAGGAAAGGTGTGCCCGGGAAATATGTAAATATTATCCAAGCATTATATGCGCGAAGCACGGGCAGAGTGAGGGCTTACAGCAAGCTGTCGCTGCCCTTCAATATCTCCAGCGGTGTGAGACAAGGATGCCCGCTGTCACCTTTCCTATTCAACTTCGCTATTGAGGAAGTCATGGAGATTGCATTTACAGAACATGACTTGGAAGGTGTGGAGCTACTCCAGGAGAACGACTTCTTGGCTTGGAGTACGTAGACGACATTGCCCTCATCTGTGACAGCTCCCAGACGTGCCAAGCCGCACTGGACAGATTACACTGATTGTCAGCTGCTTCGGGCTTTGCTTTGCACCCTCGAAGTGCAAAGCGTTCCTCCAAGATTGGCAGGCATCGCTTCCTGTGCTGACCCTTGGTAAGGATCTTCTAGAAGTCGCTCAGAAATTCAACTACCTGGGAAGTTGTATCCGCGCCCTTCGGATCGAAGACGAGATCACGAACCGTATAGCGAAAGCTCGAAGTGCTTTTGCTAACCTTCGCCACCTAGGGTGGCGGCGCGACATCACTCTCGACCTGAAGGGTAGAGTGTACAATGCAGCGGTACGTTCGACCTTACTGTACGGTTGCGATACCTGGCCCCTAAGATCGGCGGACATGAAGACGTTAGTTACCTACGACTATCGGTGTCTTCGCAGTTTGGCTCACATCTGGTGGGAGCACCGCGTGAGTAACGAGCGTGTTCGACGCCTTGTTTACGGCCCAAGGAAAGGATCTGAACCGCTCAGCACCGTTATTTCCCGCACCAGGCTCCAATGTCTCGGCCATGTTTTACGCATGCTGGCCCGCCGACTCCCTCGACATGCATTGTTTGCTCACCGGGAATGTTGGTGGAAGAAGAGGAGAGGTGTCCAAGCGATGACTTGGTCCAGGGGAACGAAGTCCCTCACTTGGGAGCTAGCGTCGGTTGGAGCGTCACGGTTCCCTAGTTGGGGTCCGAAAGACGGTGAACACGTTTGGCTGGATACACTTGCCGACATGGCAAGGAGCCGACCTCAGTGGCGTTTGTGCTGTGAGTTTCTTTGTCCGTCCCCATCCCTTTTAGCCTCCCCCTCCATCTACGATCTCATTTCGTAGGGTAAAACTTAATAATTTTTTTCTTTTTGCCTAGTAGCTGGCTGGTCGCTTACCGGAACGATGCCTATCCGTTGCTGGTAGCTCAGCTGGCATGCAACCGTTGTATCTATTTTTCCTTGTATATTGTATTATATGTAAGTATGTATGTACTTCCTTCATGTATTGCGGCACAATAGCGGAGGTATTTTCCCAACGCTAGCTGACATGTATACTGATGATGATGACTTCGATTCAATGTGGACCAATGTAGTGTGCTGCACCCACGGCACAAGTTACGGCGCCCCTACAAACTCGACAACTAGGGGCTTCAAGCGATTTCTGTTGAGAATGATCTCGGAGCTTTGGTTTATGTAGAACTTGGATGTTCGAAGCAGACTGAAACGGCGTCTAGGAGGGGCATCTAACATGCGGACCTTCTGAAACGTGCATTCGGACGATTCGACCCTAGGATTTTCCACAACGTTTCGGCTCATACATGCGGCCACATGTGGATTACGCAATACATGTCTGGCAGCCATGGCTGAGAAGAGGTTTCACCATCTTGGAGCTATCCAAACGCCAGGCAACCAAGGTTGTCAAGGGTCTGCAGAATATACCGGATGAACAACGGCTACAAGTGCTCAGATTCTTCAGCGGACAGTATCGGCGATTACACGGTGACCTCATTCTGACTTTCCAGATTTTGTGAGATCCTAACCACACGTGCCGCTGCTTGCTAGAGCTGAGGCACAACAACAATTTGAGTGGCCACCATCTCAAACTGACAGAGAAGTACAGTCGCTTGGAATACCGTCGAAATGTCTTTTCCGTACTCCTGTGCCGTACGTGGAATGCCCTACCACAATCTGTCAAATGTGCTCTCACACTGGCAGAGTGCAAAGCCCGAGTTGACCATGCACTTATTTCCTTGCACCATCTTACATGACCCATTACCCTTGGATAATTGCTTTCAAAAGTGCAGGGAATTAGTAATTTTTAAAGCACCTTCAACAGCACGGGGGTGCGAGCTATTTCTTCTCAATACCTGGTGTTATGGTGGCTGTTTTCCATATGTCGGTGATGGTACCTTTCTTTAAACATCTACTCGGAAGCTCCTATAATTATGTTAGTAAACTGAGTTAGGTAGGAATACGTTATTAATTCAATCGTGCGCGATCCGACGTACGCTGCCATCTCGCTTGTCTAGCTCATTTCTCGTTAATTCTTAAGTCTGTTCCGTGCATTTGCACCATAGCGCCTACGGTCGATGACATGATGGGTTCGAGAGGTTGGCTGTTAGGCTCCCATATAAAAGTGAGCTTCTACCAATCGGTGTAGGGGCTGGCGTCCTCGCGGTATACTTAGCCCCCACCCGATTGTTGGTGGTCGCACGGCAGCAAAGCGCGGTTACGGTGTACAGCTGACACACTGCACTACCGGATGATGCAACTGGGGACTGGAGTTTGGCTCAGCTGATATCACGAAAATAAACTTATATTCCCCAAGGCCATGCTGTTTCACCTTAAGATACAGTGTGGTAGCGATGTGGCCTGTCACAACATGTAGGGCTGCATAGTTTATTTCGCATCCTTGAAGCTAAAATCAGCAGCATCCAGGAGCTGCAGCAAGTGACAGCTTGTAGTTAGTAAACGTTTGGGGTCGATTAAACTAACGATTGCCGAGATTGTGTGCATAAGGATGGCTTCAGTTTTGCAAACACCATTGTAGTTGTCACACATAACAAAAGGTTAGCACAAGACTGACGGACAAAATCCAAATGCCATAAAATAGAACCGCGCTTATTTGTCACTCGGACGCAATAACTATGGTAATAATATGCCTCAGCGAAGTTGTTGTTGTTATTCCATGTGTCAGTGCCAGCGACCGTGACCACGACCTCCAACTCAACTGCTTAGGGCAAATTAGCATACCATAAATGCGGCACAGCAATTATTCCTTGTACGCATTTGAATGCTTCGTCCTTGCACACTCGTGAATCGATTGTGTTTGGTCGCGTGATCTTTCGCCCTATAACTCTCTGCCTCAGTCGACCATCACAACCCTCAGTCAGTTCAGCAATTGATATACGAAAATGGGCGGAACTACCAGCTCTTTATGTGCACACGTGGAAACCAAAAATCAGCAGGAGCCCGTTGAAACAGTGACACCGACAAAACCTTTGGAAACTGTTTCCTCAACAAAGTCAGAGAGAAGAGGTGATGTTGAAAGTGTGTCTAAACAAGCAAGCCAGACTGAGGTAGTGAATGTTGAAGAGGAAAGGCGGGACGACGCGAGTAAGTTGACATGAGTTGCATTGCTTGGTGTCGCTTAGACCTGCATTATATACCATAATCTTAGCGTACCGTAAACCACAGCGAATCATTCCGTCGCCTGGGATGGGTTGTTAGATGGCTGTAGAAAAATATGCGGTCGCTACCCATTAAATGCGCAAATTGCACATATTTGGTTCTTAGTTCTGGAACATGAACGAATGCAAGTTAAACCATATTAGATCAGAAAAGCCAGATTTTCTGCCTTCCGAAATTTTACTACTGAGTCATGCATTAAAGTACCCACCGACCACAAAGGCACATTTTATCTACGTCCATCTGGTGACACACAAGCAACTCCAGGCGGTTCGCTGGCGTTGGTAGAAAACTAAGTAGCAAAGTCTTGACCGCACTGCTGGATTCCTAGGCAAATATCAGCCGACTATGTATAGTTCGGCTTCGAGGTTCGTGTAAGACAAATAGGTATTGGGAGGAGAGATGCAACTTGTTTGCGATCTCCGCATACTCTTAAACTGGTTACAGCTGTGGTTAGGTCAAGAACCACTTTTATCATGAAATTCACCAGCTCTTGAGCAGTTTGTAGATCCGATAGTGTACCCCACGGCGGTTTTAACGCACGGGTCCGTCACTTACAACCGTGTCAACGTCAACTCTGTGGTCAATTTGCGCTCGATGAGATCCAATCAGGTGACGGAAACATGCTTCCCACACTGTGTAGAGACACTCGTGTCCTTCTCTCTATAACTAACTCCAGACTTACAAGACGTTCCTTAGCGCCGTGTCCACTTCCCCAACGTCCATCAGAGGAGGCTAGACATTACGGTGTTGCGATGGTTTGCGTTTCTCAGCGATCCGTTGAGCTATGCTGGGTGGGGCCTTTTGCACCTTCAGAGCCACTCATACCAGGTGGGTCAATGGTTAGAGGCCAGACAAACTCAGTCTCCTGGCCCTCCAGGTTGGGAGTTGGAGTAAGGGCGGTTCCTTATTTCTTAAAACGGACTCCTTGTAGCCCAAAGCCAAACCCCGCTTTCTTGAGGTCAGGTTTTTGAACCAATGGAATTGGTTGAGGATCCTAATCGTTCTCTTGTCTAGACCTGGGCAACCTGACAGTATCCCGTCCATGCAATACAATGAAGCTTTTTTTCTGACAATTTTTTGATGCTCTGACCACCACAGAATATATTCAAAGGTGCCCTATCTGCTGTATCGATCAGGGTGGATAGGGGTTTTGATGCTACTGCTCAAACCTTCCCGGTTGAAACATCTAAGTATGGCATGAGCTTCGCCCCATCGAAGTGTAAAGTACTGCTCAAGGATTGGCTTTCACCTGCTCCAGTGCTCACTCTCGAAGGTGCACAACTTGAACTGGTAGATAGTTTCGTCTACCTCGGGAGCTGTGTTTCTGCTGACGGCACTACAAACAAAGAAGTTTCACTTCGTATCGCTAAATCTCGATCTGCATTTTTCAATCTGAGGCACTTGTGGCGTCGTCGCGACGTCTCATTCTCACTAAAGGGCCGCGTTTAGTGCGCATCAGTTCGCTCAGTATTGTTGTATGGGTGCGAGTCCTGGCCGATTCGCGTGGAAGACATGCGTCGTCTTTTTGTCTTCGATGCCGGTTGCTTAAGGAGGATCACTCGTGTTTGGTGGCAACATCGAGTTAATAGTAATGATGTTCAACGTCGCATCTTGCGGAATGCGAGTATTCCCTTCAACAAACTGGTTTTGTTGCGCCAGTTAATATGGCTCGGTTACGTCCTACGCATGGCACCTGAGCGTCTAACGCGTCGCGCTCTATTCGCTCGTCAAGGACCTGGCTGAAAGCGACCGCGTGGTGGTCAGCCTTCCACTTGGCGGCAGCACATGAAATCGCTGACGTCGTGTCTAACCGCTGTTGGATCCGTACGTCTTGCAGGATGGGACCCAAAGATGAGGAGTGCCAATGGCTTAGGATTCTTGAAGACATGGCCCGCAACCGGAATCAGTGGAAGAATTGTGTACAGTGTTGTATTGATTCACATGTTTCATACTACCAATATTGAAAATGACAAAAAAAGAAAAAAATCGGCGTGTGACAAACAAACTAAAAAGGTTATGTTCTATTTGTTAAAATGTTCCATTCTTCTTGCGGCATATTAGCTGAAGTGTATTGCCCACCTTCAACTACCATGCCACGATGATTATGACGCAATGACTGTCTCCTATCTACTGATCTCCATGGCTTTGTTGGCTCTATGTCTAGTTGCTAGACTGTTGAGATTACATACATACATCGTGCATCAGAGGTCGAAATGTCCGCTGTCCATAGAACCATCGGCAGTTATTCCATCTTAAATGTGAAACTGGCAGCAGAAGACCTGACGAAACAACGTATGACGAGTGTGGACAACCTATCTACAACTTAGCAAAACGCGTGCACCATTGGGATGAGCACTTTGAAAGGCAATTTATTCGTTTGTAATTGTCAGATTTCTGGCTGGCCACTGATCAATTTGCTCCTACAGCTGTCTCTTTTGATCCGCCTTCTCACTCCGAAGTCGAACCTGAGATCAGACAGTTGAAGTTAAATAAAGCCGCGGGACCTGATGATCTTCCTGCAGCCCTCTTCAAATTCGGGTGACCTGTTTTTGTGGATGATGTACACGAGTTACTAGTGAAACTTTGGGAGCACTAAACTATTAACCGGCTGCAGTCACTCCGTCATAGTCCCAATTTTCAAGGGAGGCTCACGATCGGAATGCAGCAACTATAGAGGAATCAGTCTGATCTTCATCGCTTCCTAATTGCCTGCCTTTGTCATCCTTCACAGACTGACTGGCACCTGTGAAAGCCAGGTTCCTAAAGAGTAAGTCAAGTTTCGTCGAGGTCGGGGCTGCATCTTCACTTTGCGTCAGCTGTTGAAGCACCGTCACATATATTGGCGGCCCACCGTTGTCACATTCCTCGATATCAAAGGTGCATTCGATTCGGTGGATAGACTTGCACTTTGGGACTGTCTACTCAGGAAATGTGTGCCTGAGAAATATGTGAATATTATTCGAGCATTATATGCGCGTAGCTCGGGTAGAGTGAGGGCTTACGGCAAGTTGTCGTCGCCCTTTAATATCTCCAGCGGTGTGAGACAAGGATGCCCGCTGTCACCTTTCCTCTTTAATTTCGCTATTGACGAAGTCATGGAAACCGCGTTACCAGGACACGACATAGAAGGTGTGGAGATACTCCCAGGCGAAAGACTTGTTGACTTGGAGTATTCAGACAATAGTTCCCTAATTGTGGCAGCTCACAAACGTGCAAAGCGGCACAGGACAGATTAGCACTGACTGCCAACCTTTTCGGGCTATGCTTTGCACCCTCGAATTGCAAAGCTTGCCAACAGGATTGATTGGGACCGTCCACTTCGCTGACTCTTGGTGATAATCAGCTAGAAGTCCTTCAAAAGTTTAAGTACCTAGGTAGTTGTATCAGAGCCGCTGGAATTGAAGACGAGGTCACAAACCGTATAGAAAAACACGAAGCGCTTTTGATAAGCTTCGCTACTTATGGCACCGGCGCGTCATCACTCTCGCGCTGAAGGGTAGAGTGTGCAATGCAACGGCCCTATTGACTCTACGGTAGGGTTTGAAACCTGGCCCTTTAGATCAACGGACTTAAAGAGGCTAGTTACATTCGACCACCGGTGCCTTCGCAATTTAGCTCACATCTGGTGGGAACACCGCGTGAGCAATGAGCGTGTTCGACGCCTTGTTTACAGCACAGGAAAAGGAACTGAACCGCTTAGCACGGTTATTTCACGCACCAGGCTCTGATGGCTCGGCCACGTGTTGCGCATGCCAGTCCACCGACTCCCACGACGTGCGTTTTTTGCGCGCCGGGGGTGTGGATGGAAGAAGAGGATGGGTGGCCATGCGATGATATGGTCGAAAGAAATGAAGTCCCTCACTTCTGAGCTGGCCTCTGTCGGAGCTTCACGGCTTTCTGGTTGGGGTCTAAAACAGATGAACACGTTTGGCTAGATATATTCAGTGACACGGCTAGGAGCCGGCCTCAGTGGCGTTCCTGCTGTGAGTTTCTTTGTTCTTCCCCATAACCTTTAGCTTTCCCTTCCAACCACGATCTTACTTCTTAGACTAAAATAGTTTTACATAATAATTTTTCTTTTTGCCTTGTAGCCGACTAGTAGCTTTCTGGAACGATGCCCATCCGTTACTGGCAGCTCAGCTGGCATACATCTGTTGCATTTTTTCCTTTGTTTCTTTTATGTATTGCGTAACTGTGGCTGTGGTGTTTTCCAACTCTACTTAACCTATATAATAATGATGATGGTTAATTCCCTAACTCAAGCATGCTTCCTACTCGATCACATCGCATTCGGTGCTAGATGGCAGAAAAGTGTACATCATTGTAGATCGCTCGGATCCACCTTTCTTGAATCAGACCAAGCGCTTCTCTATGTGAACATCCGCATAGGTTTCGGAGCGTCCCCGAAAAGAAAGTCCTTTTAGATTGATGAAAATAGACTAGCTGCTCCCACGGTTCAGGTGAACTGTCAGGCTTTGCTGGCTGAAACAAAACTGCCATCTAATGTTATAAACTGTGTAAAGTTGGGACTAATGTATGAGAGGATGCGCTCTTCCGTACAGTATGAATTCTTGCTTTGCTAGTTTTTAAGACCTGAATCTTCACTCGCTACATAGGTCCCTTTGACTGTCACAAAACATTCCAGAGGAATCCGGTGATAATGATGTGCATCGTTCTATAAGTCAGCAGCTCAAAAAATTCATTGGTGGTGTTCTTGATAGCTGTTGGTCTCATGAAGTTTTGTAAATGGAGGCTGATGCTATTGCTAGCAATACTCACAAGCTCTTATAGCTCCTTCTGTCTACCGGCTAAAGGAAGCCTGATATAAGTGAGGCTATTTACGAAGTGGATACTTCGCCATCACTAACCTATGGAGGAACTTATATCGATGCGCTGACTATTTTCATTTCCATCTCAATTGGCCC